TTGAGGTTGTTAACAATTTCATCTTGCTTGGATTCACAAGCAACATTTTTTGGCACCAGTGGTCAGGAAATTAAAAAGATGAGTTGCTTTAGGCAAAGTCCATTGTCAGGGACCTCTCCAGAGTGCTAAAGAGCAATGATATCAGTCTAGAGTAAGGTGCTCCTGATCCAAGCACTGGCCTTTTCAATTACTTGCTATGAATCAGAGAGTTGGACAATGATTTAGGATGACAGAAAAAGACTAAACCCTTTTAAGTTGTGATGCTGGAGAAGAGTATTGAACATATTCTGGACTGCAAAGAGAACAAACAGATATGTCCTGGAGAGGGTGGAGACAAGGATTCTGAAATTCTATTTCACATACTTGGGGCATTGTTGCCAGGAGGGACCAGTCCTTGGAAAATAGCAACATGCTTGGAAGGATAGAAAGTCTGCATAGGAGAGGAAGATCCTGGATGAGATAGATTGACACAGTGACTGTAGCAGTGGGATCAGGTGTATCAGAGACAGAGAGGTTGGCTCAGGATAGGGCAGGGTTCAGACCTGCTGCTCATAGGGTCGTTATAACTCATACTTGACTTGAAGGCACCTAACAACAACAACAACATATAGTATCTACATAAGGGTGCCATGAGTCAAAGCTGATTTGCTGGAACTAGAAATGGACCAATTACAGCGAAGGCTTTAAGAAGAGTTGTGAGGGTGAGGCAGGAAACATGGGTTTACTTCATGTCAGAGGTTTCCGGACATGAACTCATCACCTCAGATTTGCAGCTCTTCAGCTGAGCCACCATCTCTCTTCACCACCCCAGGATGGATGCAGAACCAGAGTGAGCCCCTGTTGGCAATTTTTGTTGCCTGGACCTCGCCGCTTTGGGATCAGTGCCCAGGGGAGGCTGGCTGCGAAGTCAGGCAGGGACGACTGATGTCCATGTCTTCACGTCGGTCAGTCTGGGTGCTGGCTGCACTAACTGAGGAGCAGGTGGGGTCTCTGACATTATTTGTGGTGAGCGTGGTGTGACACAGGAGGAGAACAATGCTGGCCTCAAAGAGTCTGCCTCACATGACATGTCGTCTTTGGTCACTCACCACAGCTGTAGAACGGGGACCCTTGAAACCCTCCCTCTTCTCGCCCACCTTACAGCATTGCTGTGTGGATCAAGCGACACACATATGAATAAATAAGAATGCTATGTTGTGCAGTGGGTTAAGCTGTGAGCTGTGAATGGAAAGGTGAGCAGTTTGAATCCACCAGCTGCTTTGCAGGAGAAAGAGGAGGCTGTAGCTTCTATGAAGACTTGTGAGCTTCCACACCCTCTGAGGAGGTCCTGTTCTGTCATGTGCACCACCACGAGTGATTGGCGAGTGTGCTCAGGGTAAAGGTGCCGACCTTTCCTGACTGCCCCAGGCTCCATGGGCCACTGCAGACTCCCAGGATTCTACCAGGCGTTGGTTGACTTCAGACCAGAATACCTGAAGCTCCGGGGAAGGAGGGTATATGTGGACGAGTCCCAGCTCTACTGGCTGGTCAGCCCCGTGAGGGGCCCCCACGGTAGCTATGGCCAGCAAGTCATCCTGCGGATGGTAAACATACTGGCATGGTCCATCTGCACGGGGCTGCATACAGGAAGGACTGGGAGGACGGTGCAGCACTGGGCAGCATTTGGTTCTGTTTGTTGTACATTATGGATTGGAACCTTCTCGGCAGCAACTAACAACAAGAACACACCTGGAAATGATAACATATCAGTGACACAAGCCAGTGCCGGTCTGGGCAGCGTTTCATACTGTTCTGCTTTGGGTTAGAAGACCTACATACACATGCATGTACACAGGCATCAGGATTGGAGGAAGACTCACCAGCAGCAACATTCTTGCTTGCCTAATCTGAGAAAAACTGGATCATTTTTCTGAAAACTGAAGCCAGGGATGCAGGCGCAATGCATCCGGGAACCTTTGTACTCCCTGACTCTGAAGTGGACACACCATCGTAGAAGGTGCTACCAAGGCTCAGACAGCAGTTACTGGCGTGTGCTAAACCATATTGATTTTAACTACATGGAAGACATCGTTCTGGAGCAGGTGGAAGAATGCCATGGTTGGCTATCACGGAGCTGGCTCTGACTCACTGAGACTTTAGGAATAACAGACAGAAACACTGTCTGACCCTGTGATGACCTCACAATCGGTGGGCTTCAGCCCTGAGTTGGAGCTATTAGGGACAATGATAGCCCTCAACTGAACCAGCTGTCATCGCGTTGATGTGACTCCTGACCAGCTCAGAGCAGAATTGCTCTCCAGAGCATCTTCAGTGGCTGCTCTTTGAGCGGCGAGCACCAGACCTTTCTTTCCAGGAGCTTCTGGTCACTCTCAAACCTCCAACCCTTCCGTTACCAGTTAACCATGGCAGCTGTTTGCATGACTTAGGGATTCTAGTTCCCATGTACTGAGCAATCATTCAAAGGCAGGGACGCAATTGCATGTGAAATTAAGGAAGATCAAAGAAGAATGGACGTCTTTGAACCGCGTGTTGGCAAGGAATAGAAATGTGCCGTAGGCTGACAAAGGAACAAACGCATGCGCCTTGGGGAAGGTGCAGCCAGGGTGCTCCAGAGAGGTGAGAATGGTGAGATTCAGCTCACATATTTTGGGTTGTGCTAACTAGAGGGGTCAGTCCTTGGAAAAGGACATCCTGCTTGGAGAAGTAAAGGTTCAGAGGAAGAGAGGGAGATGCTTTGACACAGCAGCTCCAACAATGGGGTCAAATATAGCAACAGTTGTGAGGACGGCAGAGGATGGGGTAAGAATTCCTCCAGTTGTACACAGAGTTACTGTGAGTTGGAGACAACGTAACAGCATACAACAGCAACAGGGGCCCATTCTGCATCTGACTGGGCC